AACTTATTTAAGGCTTTTTCACTTTTTGTAAATTTTATTCCGAGTATTGATATTCTTAGTGTTGAAGAAGCCCGAATGGGCGAAACGTCCACTTAAATTCATTGGTAGTTAACCTTTAAGATCTAATTCCAGGTCTATATTTGGGGCCCAGAAGATCCAAAGAAGATTAAGTGATGACAGTGAAGATGATGAACTTGAAGAAAACAGATCAAAAATCAAAAGTGAATTACCAGGAGAAAGAAAACCAACAAGAAGAAAAGCTACAGACATTTTGGCAGAGGTAACTACTTTCAGTACAATGTTAGAAATGAATCCTGCTGATATTAAATACTTCCTAAAGTATTCAGTGTTGGACTGGTTTGGGGATGCTCATCAAAAATAAGGTATTTATTCCCTTGGCTTACTTCAATTAATGCTTGCAAAAAGTTCATTGTATCAGCGATACACATTTACACATATATGAAAAGCTTTTTTGAATGAATCTTAGGGTTTGTTGTAAGAATGTTTTGGTACTGAACCCACAAACTGTGGGAATGCAGTTAGATCTTGTGTCATTTTACTGATTCAACTACATGACCTGATAGAAGCAGGTGTGGTGTGATATTCACAAAAATATTTATTTTATAGGATACCTCCGACACACCACAACCAGCTCAGAAGAAACAGAAGACATCTGGTAATGTTAGCATTGGAAAGCTGCAGAATAAATCTCAACTGGCATCTTTAGTAAAAGTGAATAAAGACAAAACTAATGGACAAAAAGCTGCTGTAAAAGCAGCTATTAAATCAGAAACTGTCACACCTGCACAGGACAACATGTTACAAGATTCACAGAAAGACCTTGGGAAAGTGGATCAGGACATCAAAGCTGGAACAAGTGCACTTGGTTCACTTGGAATGTTAGGAGATTACAGTAGCAGTGAAGATTCAGATCAATAGACTTACTTGTGGCCAAAATATTAATGTTATATTATTATTTTTGTAATTATGTACATAAATTGCACACTTCATTATATATGGATGCGAATGGGATAAGCTTCAGTAAAACCATGATACATGAAGGTTTTCTTTTTTTTGGGCTCTCGGAGATCCTACCTCATTCGGGCCAGGGTCTCTCAGCTTTCCATCCTACTGGTAGGGACTTCTGGTAGGGTGGGAATAGGAGAGACACCGGCAAGGAGGTTTTTAGAGACTAAGTGAAGAGTGTGAACAAACATATTGTAAACTGAATGACAGATATGTTATTAGATGTTTTGGTGTGTAGTATCACTGTATATTTTTACGAGTTGTGCCATATTTTGACGAGCCCATAAGGTGAGTCAAAATACAAACGAGTAAATATAAAGCAATATTACACACTAAAACATGTAATAAGAGATTTATTATCCAACTGCTGTAGTCAATAAAGTTATCAATGAAAGAGGGAGAGTGTGACAGTTTTGCATGCACGCACCGACCTGTATGACAAACAGGTTTTCTAGTGAGCAAATAACTGTACAATATCGCTGTATGTAATTTGGATGGTATTTATTGCAGTTGGATAATAAATTCCCATATTGGAGTAGGTACTCTAGACTCAAGAATCTGTTGATTTTGGTCCAGCTCAAGAATGTATTGAATTCAGTTGATAATGTTCCATGTTCTTTTTTTATTATCTGTATTTCTTTTAAATGGGTGATTATGGGTTTATTCTTCTGTTACATAAAGTTATAAAATAATGTGGATGTAGTAAACATGAAATAAATTAAAGTCTGTAACATTTTAATATCACATGTGTACAGTCATTTTTAATATAGCATTTTTTAAGGGAAGTCAATTTCAATACTAAATTCTAGATAGCTGGTAGGGCCTTAATCAATAATTAAAACAAACCTGAAAAAAATAATTGTTTCCATGTATTTATGGTTTATTCGAGAATAGGCCACATTTGTATTCTCGACTAGCTTGCAATGAAGGCTCATGCGTGGAAATATCATTAAAAACAGATTAATGTCATTTGCATTTGAAACAACTCAGTCGCAAGCTAGTTCCAGTCCAATACCGAGAATACAAATTAATTTGGTCTATTCCAAACCAAAATCCTGCAAAAGTATTTTGTGCTTGTTTAGTTTCAATAATGAGAAAACTACAACATAATCAAAGTTGTATTTTAATGGAAAGAAAGTCATGGTAAACTAACATGCCATCAGAAGGTATTGCAACCATTTATTATTCTGCTATTATTTGTTTATTACTTACAAGACATGTATTTGTTAACTATTTATTTCATGTCTCTTAAAGTGTCTATTATGTACAGGAAATTTGGATTTCACTTCCCTGTAAATTGTCCTGTTATACAAACTATCCATACCTTCCCTTAAGGAAAGGTTTCTTGGTTTGAATTCAGCTCTCAACCCCTTCAGAACTGGCATCATGCTTTCCTTTAAAAGGTTTGGCTTTTGAGACCCAAACTCTCTTGGAAATTCCAGTGACCTTTTATGGGATGCCTAGGTATGGATATTTCGAGAACCACACTGCACGTAAATCTCTGGCCATTCAGACTCTTACCTCTATGAAAGGAACATGCATTCCAGATTTGCTGAGCAAAGTAAGGTCAGTTACCATGGACCTAAGTTACAGACCTTAAAATAGCTGAGCAAAAATTTCTCAATTTAACAAATTGGCGTCAGTTTTTCATGCATCTGTCCTGTTATTGACAAAGAATTTTGTCATGACATTGTCAAAGCAGCTGTGGATCCATGAGGCAATAGCCGAGTGGATTCGCAGACTAAGTACTTTGACAATGTTATGACCAAATTCCTCGTCAATAAAAGCACAGGCACATGAAAAACTGACGTAAATTTGTTTTTTACAATAACAAGTTGTCAAATTGTCCAGTCTCGCTCATTGACGCATCACATAAACTATAAATTCATGTGTCTGTCTGCTTATTGGCAATGAAAATTAGCCAATGAGCGTGCAAGAATTTCTGCAGTTATCATAAAAAATAAGTTGTACAAGAAAATATTTCCACCCTGAGTGGCCACAGAGACAAGTTTTGTTCCTAATATTATAAGTTGAAAGTTAAGATTTATATTGCCAAAACACGTCCAGAAAACATTGAAATTCAACATGTAAGTAAACCTTAAGAACTTATTTACTTTGGATGGGCATGGTAAACATTTAACCGTACATATTTGTACCACAAGGGAAAACCAATGAAAAGACCCTACAAAATTGTAATAAATTATTGTACATGTGGTTTGATCTGATTTGTGAATGGTCATGGCACATAAACATGAAAGGTAAACATTAAGTGTTCACACTTTTTCAATTATCATAGTGATACTATTGGTATCTGGATATCTGAAAACAATATGTATAAAAAAAATGGCAAGCACTCAAAGATAGTGTGTATAAAAGATAGAAAACAAAAGTTACAGTTGTATGTATTTACAGCTGAAATCTACTAACAAAACAGAATGTGGTTAATTCTTATGTTATATATTCTTAGATCAAAATATGTGTTGTTACCTTATCCACGTAATCTGCTACAAACAGCTATTTTAATTGTAACCTTTGCTTTTACTCTCATGTGACAAATTCCAAATACTAACTAGCAGGTGAAGGGAGTTTAAAATAAAATCTCATGAAAGAGATCTCAGTTGACTTGTAACCAAACTAACTCATGGAGAATTTCAACGTTGACCTTGAGACTTGCAGTTTAGTTTACTGTACATTATATTGAAAGCCTCACAGTCAATATACAATCCTCCATGCTGGTCTCCTAGCCTATCAACAGGTTGTTTTTTTTGGAGGATGATAAAAAGAATGATTGCAAGTAGATGAGAACCAGTTTTTTTTTTTTACTCCCCTCTCAGCTTTGCCTATTCATCTACCCAGCAGTCTTTTGTCCTTTTTACCTCTGAAGAGCCCAATCAAGGTTCACTGGTCTACATACATTTTTTTATTACTATATATTATAGTGCTTGTTAGGATATTGGATGTGCTTGCAATAAATATAATAATATGATCAGTTGTATATATCATTATTTTGACTGGAAGACGTTATATACATTACATTGCAAGACATTATAGAAAACATAAATATCTGCTTAATGTATAACAATGAACCAGAAATTTCATTTTCCTTCTCTGGACAGTTCTTACTCAGCAGGGTTGGAAGTTGTAAACTTGTGAAATACATCATCCAGTATGATTTACACTATAATCCTGATGTCAACATACAAGTTCTCACTTGTAGCCAAAACATATTATGTAGATGTACATAAAACCACATAGCCAAGGACTTTTTTTCACATGTCTTGAATATTTCAAGAAACCAGAAAGCAATATGTTTGTGACAAAAGCTTTTCTTTCTAACATGTTCTGCTAGAAATATACTGTTTGGAATCATATTAGTTACACTTAACTAGAAAAAAATGGTATTTTGTTTTTGGCACTGCAGATGTCATTATTACAATAAGTAATTTATGGTACTGCAATGATAAATAAGTTATCATGAATTTGCTGCATCTGTGGCAACACCATTGTTAACAGCCCGCCACAGTCCATAAGTTTTGCCAACAGTGTGTTGCCAAAGTCTCAGTGTTCCATCTTCAGATCCCGATGCGTACAGCTCACCATCTGGAGAATACCTTACACAGTGGACAGGGCCAAAATGTCCTTTGTATGATTCTAAAAAAAATATTTCACTTGATGAAGCTCATTTCAGTAAGTGTGATGCCTCACCAGCTTTACTAAATCAATAACTTAGGTAAACATAATTTCTACTGACGTATCAGCTGAGACACTAGCAATGTGTCGGCCAACATACTTCCAATACACCAGCCTACACACCATCAATGCATTGAGTAACACACTAACAACATGTCAGCCGACACAGTACCAATATCTCAGTCTGTTTGTTCTCTCTGCAGGCTAATTTTGAAAACATAAAACATGATACATATCAATTTACCTAGTTCTTTTCCATCTCCATAATCAAACTTGTAAAGTTTGAAATCATCTCCTCCAGCTACAAAACAAGACTTGCTCGGGTGGAGTGAAGCTGAAAATATTGGTGTTGGGGCCTCAAATGACTTTATAGGTTCCATTCTAAACAAAAACTTAATCAAATTAAATGTGCCAAGAAATAACACCAAAGTGTAGACTAAGTCAAGACAAGAAATCAGCACCTAGGATTTACACCTCAAGTACAACGCAAATGTCAGCTAAGCATCTCTTCTATATGCAAAATCAATATAAAACTGCATTATATAATTATTTATAAAATATCACACTATGCATGCCCTCATTGGTCGATAGGTGTGTTTAGATGAGAGTACCTTATTATAAGTAACATGGTTACCTTTCTGTGTTTTGAGAAATATTGTATTTTGAAAGCAATGGGGGAAGTTTTTCTATGTTGTCACAGCCTCATCTCAACACTTGGGGGGTTGGGAGAATAGTCAAAAGTTATGCAAACCCTTGACTGCGACTCTGGTTTGTAGAACTGTCTTGAAATCTCCCATCCCCCTTGTGTGTAATAAACGACCTTATGTAAACACGGAAAAAGTTCTAGTCTATAGATGCTTAAATCTAGATGATGTTCTCACAAGTCTGCCACACAAATGCAACTTACAGTACTTTTAGTAAGAACACTGCTCTATTTCCATTATTATTTCAAACTTGGCTTGGTGGACATGGTGTATATTTGACTAGGCAGTTTATTCAGGCTAAACGAGGGTTTTAATAATTCATTATTTCTTGGAAATCCACTGTGAGGGTTTAATCAAGCAACTTCATAGGTAATTCTATATAAACATGCAGGTGAGCAACCTGACAAAGTGGTGGGCAATGAGAGAAACATTACTGTAAGTAGCAAAAAATTTGTTTAGAAAATAGCCCAAAGAAAACATGCGTGCTGATTAGTTTGAAATAACTTGTTTCTATAACTTGATAGAAACATAGAAATAGCGCAAGCTGATGATGTAGTGGTGCACAAGCAAAGAGAAATCAATTTACATTTTGATAATCAATCAAAAGTAGACACTAACTAAAGTGGTTTTTTTTTCCCACAAAATTTTAAAAAGGAAATAGAAAATGCAAGTACACTGGATTACATGAACTAGCACACATGTTCTCTAGTTCAGCCAGTGAGAATTGAACTAAATTAGCATTTCCCCTTACCTTTCAGCATCCCAAAATGAGATAGTTCTAGCATAAGTGACAATCAGTAAATTGTCATCCTTGCATAAAAGCATACTTGTGGCACTCTGTGGTATATCAACTTTCTTTACTTCACCCATAGTTCTTGTATCCCAAATCCTACAATAAAAAGAGAAGTCTGTATAATACTGAATAAAAGATCTCATCTGGTACTTGATTTGATTGCTATAGATATATAAAACTTACAGGATCTCCAGAATATAATTGTGAGGAACCTGTCACAAAATGAGCCAAAATTAAGATGACAATGAATGGGGAAGCTAACAGTTGTCAAGACAAAGTGTTCTTGTCACTGCTTTTAGGTAACTTCATAGCACCCCCTGCCCCCTCCCAAAAGGGGGGGAGGCCTCATATGGGCTAGATAGGTGTGTCCCATGGGATAGAGTATGGTTTTTGAGGTTCTTGATTCTCATATAGGGTATTATTTTTGCCCCTGCTGACATTGTTTGGAAAAAAGTGCATAAATGGGTATTGGCAAAGTGTTGTGACAACCTGACAGAATACTACTGAGGAGTAAACTGCAATGGGTTAGCGAGTGTCATTTTCAATACTCCTGAAGCCAATTTATGCTACAGAATCCCAAGTAAAGTGCCAGGCCATGAGTGAAGTCACTAAATTAAAAAGTTTTTAATTAGTTCGATACTTTCAGCTTTTACATACATTTACCTCATGGCTTTATCCTCTCCTCCACTATAAACAAACTTGCCATCTTTACTCCACAAAGCAGCCCTGATATTAACTGTATAGCCTTTTAACAAGTCAGGTTCTAAGAAATGTTAAAATACATTGTCTTGAATTCACAATGAAATGACAAATGAAAAATAAATATTTGTTCAAAGCAGCTAACTAAAGATATTTACACAAAATTAGCAGCTATTTGACCTTTTATGTCAATGAGCTCATTCTCAAATCACTAGCTGCATACCAATTATGGTAACAATTACTGGACTGGGTGGAGCATTTTACAGAAACGGGCAAACCCTTAGTGTGTAACCATTTTGAAATTAAGTGTCTGATTACCACTTGAATTTTATATGACACAAGGTTCAATTAATACAATTTTGTCAATTGTTTGACTAACAAAATAATTATGAAGTTAGGAAACCCGTGATAACCTCTTTTATACTAATCAAAAGTTCGGTCTTACATATTTCTGCCATTAGTTTTACAAACAGTAAAGAAATAGTAGGAATGATCCAGCAAAGCCAGTACATGTACAGTGGCATAGGTGTCAAATCTAATTTCTTTCTACACTTTAATGGGCACCAGACACAGCCGTTTTTACCTTTTTTTGACAACTAAAACCAAGAAAATATTTCTTTGCTCCCTCTCATGCAGCACAACATTTCTTAAAATCTGATATATCTAACTTTGAACCAGATGTCAGTCTGCACAATATTTCATGTAAACCATCAGAAATACGTTTGTAATTATCTGTTTAATTAAGTGCTGCTTAACTGATAAAAGGAAACAAACTTACCTGCATTATCACTTTGAAGATCAAATATTCTCATAAGCTTTTCATTACTTGCTGTAAGGAGCCTCTCACCATCCTAACAAAAACAAAGTTAACATCCTTGAAATATTAACAGTAATCTAAATCAAACAGCTCCACTGAAAGTATATATGCAGATCTCTAAATGTCTGTTAACTTAGTTAGCCACTGACTTAAGGGCCCATTAACTGATCTTTTCGAGCTGTTGCTAAGGAAAATTTATTCTCATATAACTACATCATTTTTAGTTAGTTCAGAGTTATTTCATGTGTTTTAACTTTTTCATGATCAGTAACACTAGTGATGACATCATCGGGCCACGTCCATGGTCATGTGACTAATACAAAAAAAAGGCTCTCAGGCAAATTACTTTATCGGGATTTTTTTCATTGATTTAATATTTTAATTTAAATCCTCATTACGCTATGCATCGATTTTGTTTCATTTCTAAAAGGTCAGATTTTGAAAGCATTTCAAACTATTGAAAAATTTGTAATTCTCTGAAAAAAGCATGATTTCGAAAAAGGAATGCATAGCTATGTTTCCAACATTGGCTGTAATCGAAATTTGTCAAAAAAGGCTGGATTTAACGAAAAACCGTGTTTCCTTTAGCATTTAAAGAAACCAGAAGTGC